CTAGGTAGAAAGGCCTACTGATCTACTCCTGAGAAAATAAGCTAAAGAAGCCCTATAAATCACAACAGAATATTGTTTGATATAGGCCTGGGTGTCAGCAGAAAAGACCAGTATCGTGTTTGGTAAAGTGGAAGACCAGTGAAAACCAGGAAAAACCCTAATGAAATGGATGGGCATAGTCAACAGCCAAAGCAGTGGCTTTGGTGGGGAAGAACCAGGCACTACCCATAGTTCATCCAGTGGGACCCTCATGAGGTTCCAGAAGGGTATGTCCCAATACAACGCCAGAAATACCAGGAAGATGTTTGCTTGTGTCCAAACATACCAACCGTCACAAAGACGGTGCAAGAACGGGCAACATCTCTTCGTTCCGTTGCACATGGATCTCCACGCACGGGAGCTGACTTGGCAGCAATGTACAGTTAGGTGCCCGGCACTATGCCTGGTGCAGTCAGAAGATGATGAGGCCACAGAGCTGCCAGTCTGGAGGCCAGTGTGCAGCTCCTGGGCTGCAAAGGAGATTCCTCTGGGGAAGGGTGAAGTGGGAGAGCCCAGAGCCTCTGAGTCTAGCACCATGGCGGGGAGAAGGTGCTACTTCTATTGTTTTTGCAGCTCGCATGCCCTAGGAATTCTTCTCAGTGGTGTCCCTCGTGAGTCTGGAAGCCACCATGGGAAGGTCCAGCCAGTGTCCACTTTGTTGGGAGATTCAGGTTCATACTTGTGCCACCGCAGTGGGGATGTAACAGCCTCACATTCCCGCTGCCCGTCTGTCAGTTTGTTGTACTCTAGTAGCTTATGTCTTGCTATGATGCTGGAAGCTATGCCACCAACGTTCCAAATACCAGTCGGGTCAGTCAGATTTCAACAGAGCTTCCAGATGAAGACAGACCAGGAAGAAAGGCCAGGTGATCTACTGCTGAAAAGTAGGCAATGAAAACCCTACGGGTCACAATAATGAGTATTGTCTGATACGGTGCTGGACGGTGAGCCTCCCCAGATGGAAGGCACTCAATCATGAAGACAGTGTGGGACCAGGCAACATTTTGTTGTGTTACATATAAGATCACTAGGAGTTGGAGCTACCTCAATGGCAGGTACCAACAACAGTGAAAGGTTCAGAGGTCACAAGAGATCTCAAAGGGGAAATGGCAGAGCCACTTTGTCCAGTTGCCCTGCAGCCCTGAATCTAGAAACTTTGGTGGCATATCAAGGAAGGCAGTGCTTTTCTCCAGGGGAAGCAGACTGACCCTTGAAGGATAAGGGAAGACCGTCACATAGAAAAGAGAGGTGAGGGTACTGCAGGCACAGGGAACAGTGTCAATGGTGTGGGAGAACCGGCAGCCACCAGTGGTTCATCCAGTAGGACCCTTGTGAGGTTCCAGAAGGGAATGTCGAATACGATGTGGAGGGGCAAGCCAGGTTGTGGAGTGTGGCTCTGATGCTGAGGTCAGCAGGGAGCCATGCTGGGTCTTAGGAGAGGAGTGTGGCCATATTTGTGTTTTGAACAGAGCACTCTGGCTTCCTTGTGGAGGGCAAGGGGGAGGGGGCAAGACTGGGCCAGGAAGCCAGTGAGGAGGCCAGTGATGACCCCTGGAGAGCCATGAGGACTGATGTCAGCAAGCAGCCACATGGCCAGAGAGGAGGGGCTTGAGAGAAGGGATACTTCAGAGGCAAAACCCATGGGACTCCATGATTGACAAGGAGGTGCAGGGTCAAAGGGGACCTCCTCCCAGTTCCTGGCTGGGGAGCATCAGCTGAGTTTAGGAAGAGGGCAGACTGAGTGTGTGGAGCTGGGTGAGGGTCGTCTATGCCAAGTGAGCTGGGTCCTGGTCCTGGAGCTCTTGGAGGGACACATAGGCATCAGTGTTTGGGGCCAGGCAGGGAGTGAGGGCCCTGGCCTGACCCTGCCTGGGAAGGGTGGCCCAGGGGGAACTGGCCCCCTCCCCAGGACCCGGGCCAGGGCCAGGAACTTCCTCTCCAGCTTCTCTCAGAGTCTGCTCCAAGAACGATTGGACAGCCACTGGGTTGGGTGCTCCTGGGGCAGGAGGCCCCAGAGGTCTGGAGTCTGAGTCTCTAGTAACTCCCCCCTGAGGGGAGGAGGGCAGCCTCTCCTCCCCAGCCCCACTGCCCCCAAGAGCAGTGTTTTTGGGGCCCGGGCCAGCAAGATTAGGGGAGAAGAGCAGCAGGTCTTCCCCGGGGGGAAAGGTACAGTAGGCATCGTTCTCCCCTGACAGAGATGGCAGGGCCGGCAGGGGAGACTCCATGGACGCCCCAGGCCTGCTCTCACTGGGCTCCTCAGCACAGGGGTCATAGGTGAAGTACACCTGGCAGGACTCGATCTCCAGGGCGTCCGGGAGGTGGAAGAAGAAATAGCCCTGGTTGGTGAAGCAGCTGGTGTGGGAGTGGCTGCTGGGTGAGGGCGCGGGCGCTTTGTCCTGTGACTGCAGGAGCAGCTGTGTGGCCTTGGTGTCCCTCTCCAGCACCTCCAGAGGGGAGATCTCGGGCGCTGGACCGCTGGGGCTGAAGGAGGATGAGGGGAAAGGCGAGGAGAGCCACTTCTGCCGGGAGAGAAGGGGGTGAGCTGGGTGCCTGCTCCCACCCTCCCACTCCCACCAGCCTCACAGTAACAACCCTCCCCCAACACACACCTTCTCACCATCCCCACCCCACCACCACAATCCCCGCCACTGCTGGCTTGGGGAACACTTGCACTGTCAGCCCAGGAAGTGTGTCTATTCAAGGCCTCAGCACAGACCTTCCCAGCTCACAGTAGGTGTCCAGGGCAATGAGTGGCTGTTTATTGAGGACCAACTGTGAGTCCCTGGGCCGTGGTAAGCGCTCAATTACTAGCTGAAAGGTTGACAGTTTGAACACACCCAGAGATGCTTCAGAAGACAAGCCTGGCACCCTGCTTCTGAAAGCTGACAGCCTTGGAAACCCTCTGAAGCAGTTCTACTCTGCACATGTCGGGTTGCTATGGGTGGGAATCAACCCCACAGCCGCTGACAACAGCTGCTAGCCTGGCTCTGTTCTAGGCGCTGGGAACAGATCAGAGGACAGACTCCTCAGCCCCTGGTGGGGCGTAGAGGGAGTGTGTGAATTGTCAGAGCTGGAAGGGCTCTAGGAGCACCCTGTTCAGATCCTAACTTAACTAATGCCAGAGAGGGACATGCCCTGGCCTCGACCACACAGCACCCAGTGGGACGGCTGGACCACAGTGTGATCTTCCTCCTCCCTCTGCAGGGAGCTTTGGGAGTTGATGGCCCCCATATTTGTCTCTCTGCCTCCCACACTCTTCCCACAGAGAGGGGGAAGCACCCACTGGAGCCCTTCTTGGTTCTTGGGAGGCCAGAGGGCCCTGGCCAGGAGTAAGGAGATCTGCATCCAGCCCCCGCTCTGGCACTCCCTGGCTGTGTGACCCTGGGCAGGTCACCGCACCTCTCTGAGCCTCAGTATTCACAACAGTTAACCGTCCCTTTCCCAGCTCCTCCCTGTTATCTGCCAGCCAGTGGGGAGCCATCAAGTGAGAAAATAGAAATACTTGTCCCAGAGTCAAATGCAGGTGACATGACAGAGGAGTTGGAGGACAGTAGATGCTGGGGTGCTGGGGAGGGGGGCTTCTGGCAGGTGAATTAGAGTCCTTTGTCCTGGGAGCCCTCATTAGCTAGACTGTGGCCCCCTGAGCACAGGGCCTAGGCCTGATGGGGTCCCCCTGCAGCCCAGTGCCCCATGCAGGACCTGAAGGCCCAGTCAGCACATTGCTAATGAATTATGGGTCAGCAGAGAGACACCCTCGTTCTCCATCCCCAGGGTGAGTTCGTGGGAATGCATCACTGCTAGACACATGTGCATGCAGACACATATACATGTATACACACATGCATACACATGTGCTTGGTCACACACATGTACACATGTGCATGCACAACCACTCAGTAACACCCTCCACCCCCGGCTCTTTAAATAACCTCCAGAAACAAGGATTTTGTGTTATAGGAGAAAGGGCCTAAAGAGAGGCAAGAAGGGCAAACTAGGGTTGGCAGGAAGGGGTAGGAGGCTAGGAAGAGAGGGTCAAAGCACAGTCAGGTTCACAGCACCGGTGGAGACAGCAGAAGGCAGGACAAGGCAGCAACTCTGAGCGTGGCGGCCGGGAGGAGAGAGGCCAGCTCTTTGGGCAGTACTGTGGTCAAGGCTTCCTGGACCTGGGCCTCTTCCACACTACCCTGCAGCAAGGGGCGGGGTGGGGCGGAGATGGTTGAGGAGAAACCTGTCCCCCTTGGCTCACACTCACACACACTCCCAGATCCTTTGGACAAGGCAGCAGCCCTTGTGGCCTTGGAGGGGGCTCTCGCCCAGCCACAGGGAGGGAGCAGGGTCCCTCTTGGCCAGCCTCACCCCTGCCACACTGTGCCTTCCCAGGTCTTCCTCTGGATAACCCTTGTGCAGAGATGACCCCATGAGAAGAGGGAGTGATTTACAGCTCTCAGGAAAGACCCTCTCACACTCCTGAAATATCCCAGTCTCATAGAATCAGAAGGACTTCAAGCCAGAAGAGGCCCCAGGCTATATCTAGTCCCGTCTCTGACTAATTTCAATGTAGGAATCCCTTCTGCAAAGTTACTGACTCATAGTCAGCCAAGGCTTGCTTGAATATGTCTGTTGATGGGGAGCTCACCACCTCCAGGGCTGAGAGAGGAATTTTAAGGAGATGTGTTCTCCCGCATCAAGGGAAGTGTAGGTAAGATATCCCCAATCATGGAAGTTGTCCAAAGAATTCAAGAAGGGACTCTGGTCAACACTGACTGGAGAACAAAGCCAGCCCATGACAGCACCAGTCCAGGGTGGCCTTCCTGACCCTCATCACTGCTCCTGACCTCTCCCCAACCCCCTTCATCCCCTACTAGGTCTAGGGAGCCTAAAGCGACTGCTAGAAACAGCCCACCACATCCCTTTCCCAAATGAAGCTTCCTGCCTGAAGCTGATGTGTACTGGGGGGAGGGGAAGGCAGAGATGGCCGCACTTTAAATGTGTTACTGTATGGGTGGGCAGTTTAAAATGAGCCTGTGTTCTGTGACTAGAGGTGAGTCTAGTCTTGGGGCCCTGTTAGTATCTGCGATCATTTAGGTAGCTCTCTAGGGTTTTTGGCAAGAGTGGGGTAGCATTAACCCCACTGAGTGGGTCTGCCTGGGCAGAGAGCTGGGGAGAACTGGGACTATCAAGTCAACAAACTGATGACATACTAGCTAGGACCCCTTAAGCACTCATTGTATGCCAGGCCAGCTTTTCAGGGAAATACACACATGGACTTTATTTTTCTCTCCATTTTCTAGGTAAGAAAACTGAGGCAGAGAGAGATTCTATAACTTGCCCAGGGTCACACAGCCAGGAGGTGCTGGAGCCAGGATTAGAACCCAGGCAGTGGGCTTAAGTGGGGTTTGCCAGGCAGCCTGAGAGCACTAGTGCCAGAGCTGGGGGAAAGGGCGCACACCCCCCCCCCAGGAGGCTGCTCTCTGCTGCTCTGCATATTTTCCCACAAAGTACAAAGTCACAGCTCTTGCACCGCCTCCCACCCCTCTCTCTCCACCAGCCCTCCCCTGGCTGCCTGAGTCAGCTGCTCGCTTCTGTCCTCCCCTCTGGACTCCTACCTGGAAATCTCCTCCATGCTCTGTGCTCAGCTGGGAAAAGAACTCCGAGGGGTCTGGGATGTGACACTTCAGAGCCTTCTTCAGCCTGAATGGGGAAGGGAGGAGAAAGGGTGAGGAGGAGGATGGGCCGTGGCGTCCTGCCATCAGCCTCACATTCATCCACCTTTCGAGTGCCCACTGTGGGCCGGACTATGCTGTGTGCAGGGTCCAAGAATGACTGAGATGGAAAGTGCCTACTTGCCAGGAGCTAACATTCCAGTGGGGGACAGACATGGGCCAAGTAGGCAACATGGCTGCTCATTCCATGGAGACAAAGAGCCAGGTGTTATGGGAGAGAAGGCTGGCAGAGGGTCAGGGGGACCACAGGAGCCAGGGAGGTCAGAGAGAGCCTGGGTGCTGAGGAGGAGAGAAGTCGGAGAGAGGCCAGATCACAGGCCTGAGAGGCAGGATGCAAGGATGGTGGTTCAGGTCGTGCACTGTCCGGGGACACCAGGCCTGAGGGTGGTGAGTGGGGGCTGAGTTCCAGCCCATGCTTTGCTTGCCTAGCTGAGTGCCCTGGCACTGGTACGAACCTGCCTGGAGGAAGTGTACTATTTTCTGATTTGCACAAAGGTTCTAAATGGCTGGGCACCCTCAAGGTTTGGGATGTATTCTGAGTACAGTGGGCAGCTCCTAATGGTGTTACACAGGAGAAGAAAAGGGAAGGGCTGTGTTTGGAGAGTGGACTGAAGTGACAGTGTGGCGATGGGGAGACCAGGGAGGAGGCTGCTGCAGTTGTCCAGGCAGAACAATCACATGACCCCGTCTGGGAACAAGGACCTTCAGCAGATAAACAGTCTCTCCACCAGTGTCCACCAAGTAAGGAGCTGGCAGAGGGTCGGGGGACCACAGGAGCCAGGGAGGTCAGAGACAGGGTGGTTGGTGAGGAGAAGGAGAGAAGTCAGAGAGAGGCAGCCAGTGAGGGGCTACCACTGGGGCCAGTAGTGGGGGCAAGAAGACCTAATGGAAGGAGGTCTGAGGGTCCTGAGCAGTTGCTGGAATGGGGGAGGGGCAGGAGGGTTGTACCCCAACTTCACCACTAACTGGCTGTGTGACCTTGGGCAGGGCAGATGACTTCTCTGGTCCCCATCCAGGCAAGAGTTTAAGCGGAACGGTAGCCCCTGACTTGCTGCCTCCACAGACCTGAGATGATGCAGACGGCACACATTGTATCTGTGTATACATTTGTAATCCATAAAGACCTGCTTCGCTCGGTGCACAGAGAGCTCCTTGAGGATGGAACCATAGGCAGGTGGCTGGCTAGCGTGGTCCCAGCACCTCGTGCTGCACCGGGCACTGAGCTGGTCTCAGCAAATGCAGAATGAATGAATGAATGAATGCCTTGACCTAGATAGACCCATGAGGACCCAGCACACACAGACAGCCTGCACTGTACACATATGCACACACACACTCTCTCTCTCTCTCAGGTCTTGAGTGGGGTGCTCTGGGCAGGATCCCCACAGGGCTTCACCTCCCCACTCCCCTCCTAGGGCTGGTTCCGTGAACCAAGGGGGACCATCTTGTGGGGGGAGGGCACAGGAAAAGGCCAGGTGGGGAGGACTCGGGGGTGGGCAGAGGGAGCATGTGCTCAGCACTGCGTGTGCGTGTGGCTGCGTGTTGGGCAGGAGCATGAAGGACAGGAGGCAGCCTTTCTTACCACGGCCCGATGTACCGGCAGTTGGCCAGCAGGTAGACTAAGATGATGAAGGCAAATCCACCACTGAGGCCTATGAGCATGTGGCCCAACCAAGGAAGGGGCGAGGTCTTCCCGGGGGCTGCCGGGGGTGGGAGGAGAGGTGGAGAGAGGGGGTTAGAGAGCACCCCCACCCTGATCCCATCATATTCCCCCAATCCCCCCGCCTCTAGCCTGGCGCCACAGTCCCTGAGTCTGTTGCCAGCCTCTGCAGGCGTGCCCTTGCCAGGCGTCACCCCTCCTGTCTCAGCTCCCTCCTCACCCTTGTTGCCCACCAGTACCTTCGGGCCTTGTCCTAAAGGCCAGCGGCTGGCTCCAGGGGCTCCAGGTCGTGTTGCTGCCTTGATGGGCCCTGGCCCGCACCTGAAGCTCATAGGAGGTGTCTGGAGCCAGTGTCTCCAGGTAAATCCATTGCTGGTTCTGCCCGAGGGTCAGCAGGGAGGCCGACTGGGGCAGAGACAGGGGTGTCAGAGCCAGCAGGCTCCCCCCACCTGATCCACCTCCCACGGCAGAGCCAGGAGGCTGAATAAGACAGACCCTCTATACTCTGCATCTCCCCAGCTGCTGAAAGGGGCCGTGATTACCCAGTCATTGGGGTGAGGAACCCCAAAGTCACCCAGGACCCCTTCCTCCCACTCATCCCCCACATCCAAAGCCACACTCTAATCAGCTCCTTCTGCCTCTGGACCAATTCGGGACCTTCTCTCCTCTGTCCCACACTCCCCGCCCCTCCCAGGCCCAAGACTCTCCAGCCTCCACCAGCCTGGTAGCGGGTCTCGCTACATCCACTCAGACCCCACAACAGGAAGAGGAACTCTTTAAGAAAGCGTGCAGCACCTCATGTCCCCCAAAACTTCCGATGCTTTTCCATCACCCATCATCACTTATACCCAAACCCAGATTCCTCCTCCCACCACCCCACCCTCTGGAATCGCTCTCTTTGTGTGTTCCTCTTCCTCCTCCCTACCCACCCCCTAATACCCCACACACATGCAAGCATCGTCCTGCCTCTGCGGAAAACCCAGCCCAGGTTTTCCTCCATCTAGAGCTACAGGGTCAGCTCCATCTAGACCTCAGAGCCCTGCCCTGGTCACCCAGGTCTAAAATAGTCTGCCCCAGCCACTGTCAAAGACACGACCCGATTTCATTTTCTTTATAAACCAGTTGCCGTCAAGCCAGCTCTGACTGCTGGCCACCCCATGTGTATCAGGCCTGTGCTCCATAGGTTTTTCCGTGACTGATTTTTCAGAAGCAGATTGCCAGGTCTTTCTTATGAGGCTCTGCTTGCACCGACCAGGGAATCATTTTCTTTAGAGTAAGTATCCCAGATTCTCTTGTTGCTGAGTTTACTGTCTGCCCCCATGTCAGTTTCCCCAGAGCAGAAACCACTCTCTCCCCAGCATCCAGCACACAATAGGTGCTCAGTAAATATTTGTTGGATGAATGAATAAGTGATTGATTGAGCAAGAGAATGATCAAATAAAGGAATGAATAAAGGGACGACTAAGAGTCGAGGGCCCGTGGAGCCCTGGACCCGGTTGGATTTGATGGTGGGAGAGTGGCTTCTAGGAATTTTGAACTCTCATGGGTGGGCAGTCGCCTGCTTCTTTGCCCTGTGCCTGCCCAGAATCTGCTCCAGCTGGACCCACTTGGTCATAGAGGGCAGGTGGAGGGAGGGGTGGCAGGGCCAGGCAGTACAGGTGGACTCCATCACCCGTCACCTGCCCAGTGGATGATGGGGCTTCTCTGAGATGCAGAATAGATGCCGTGACCACCACTACTCACCTCCCAGCTGTGGCCCAGGGGCTGTGTACGGACCTCAAATTCCAGATAACGTTCAATGTAGTGGGAGAACTGGGGGAGGATCCAGGTGACGTTGCACCTATGAGCCTCTAAATGGACAACTTGGAGGGAGTCGGGGGCCATCAGGCGAACTGGAGGCAGGAGAGAGGACAGAAAAGCAAGTGCAGGTGACACTGGATTATGACCTTGACACAATAAAGCCCATACCTGCTCCCACCTCCGCTTCTGACCTGCTGTTCCTTCCTCCAGAGGCCCTCATGGCTCACCATTTCCCTTCCTCCTATTTGGAGAATCTATCCTGACAACCCACCACTCTTCACCCTCTTACCTATGTCCTTTCTAGCACTTGTTACCACTTGATATATTAAATATTTATTCTCATTGCTTTATTCATTTGTTGTCTCCCCCACCAGACTGTGAGCTCGCTGAGGGCAGGACATTGTCCTCTGCTGCATCCTTGGTGCCTGGGACATTACTCGGCTTGTGGCAGACACACGACGCAATAGCTCGTGAAAGAAAGAATTAAGATGCCCTTCTCTGTGCTCGGAACTGATCTAAGGGTTTTACATGGATCGTACATTATCTCATTTATTTTAAATTTGATAACTGTAAGTTTTATGATTCTGAAGTTAAATTGATTTAAGTTTCCATAATTGTGAGACTCTATCCAAAAAAAGAAACTCCAAACTCACTGCCATCAAGTCAGTTCTGACCCATAGCGACCTCTCCTTGGGTTTCCGAGGCAATCCTACTTCCGTGGTGATACTGCCTCAGAAACCCAAGGAGGGGGGTCGCTATGAGTCGGGGCCGACTCGACGGCAAAACAACAAACAACAACAATATCACTAGATTGCCCCACCTTCCTTCCGAGGAGTGGCTGGTGGGTTTGAACTGCCAGCCTTCTGGTGAGCAGTCAAGTGCCTTAGGCACTATGCTACCAGAGCTCTATGTTGTTGTTGTTGTTGTTGTTGTTATTTGCCATCGAGTCGGCCCCGACTCATATAGAGCCATGCAAATAATAACAAGCAAATGTCCATTCAGCATTGACTGTGTGCTAAACGGCTATGTCTCTTGGCTTGTGGATTCCTCCCAGGGACCCTGTGTGGCTTTGATTATCCTCATTTTACAGATGAGGAAAGTGAGGCATGGACACACTAAATGATCTTCCCAAGACGCATATCCAGTCAAGGCAGGGCTAGGCTTTGAACCCCAAGGAGATCTTGCCCTCTGTCCCACCCTTTTCCTAGAGATGGCCTGTGAGGTCATCCAACATAAAGTGATGGAGTTTGAGGAGCAGTGAGTGGGAAGGAATTTGGAGGTGGAGATAAAATAGAGACACCATGTGGGTTGAGGAGGGGGTGGCACTCAGTCACTCTACAAACCTTCCCAGAGTGTTGCCTGGATCAGGCCTGGCGCTGGGTACTAGGAATGGAGACACAGGGATGGCAGAAACCCTGCCCTCGGAGAGCCCACAGGCCAGTGAGGGAGACAAACCAGGCAGTGATGACCTGGACATAAACTCCTTGAAAGTGGAGGTCCAATGGGCCAGGGGAGTCTGGGAAGGCCTCCCGGAGGAGGTGACCTTCACTGAGATTGAAGGGTGAGTTGGACTTGTGCATGTGGGGAGAGCCTTCCAGGCAGTGGAACCAGAGTGTGCAAAGGCTCAGAGGCATGGGTGGGCCTATTGGCTGTGGTGGAGATAGAGGTTGCCAGAGAAGGAGCATAAGACATGAGGTTGGAGAGGGAGGCCAGGCCAAAGCTGAGAAGCCTTGAATGCCGGGATTCCATCCCAGGGCGATGGGCAGTGAACCAGTCAGAGGTGGGTATGGAAAGTGATGGGGAGAGAGACTGAGCAGGGAGGATCCCAGAGAGGAAGTCAGGGATGGAGAGTCCACCTCACCCAGCCCCACCACAGGGGCCTCACTCACGGTTCTCAAAGGGCTTGAACTCCTGGCTTGTCACTATCCACCACCTCTTCCCTTTGCGGCACCTCACGCTTATGTTGACAACGTCCACCGCTGTCAGTCTCTGAGACTGTAAGGGAAGGAGGGCAGGGCTGTCGCTGCCAGCAGCGGGAGAGGGGCTGCCGTGGAGCGGGAAGGCCATAGGAATGAAGACAAAGGGAGAACGGGGGTGGGGAGGACAAGAGCTGCAGCAGATGGAACTCTCCATGCGCCCCACCTCTAAGGCAGGGCCAGCAAACTTTTTCTGTAAAGGGCTAGATAGTAAATATATTTGGCTTTGCAGGCCTAATCATCTCTGTCCCAGCTATTTGACTCTGGCCTCGTTGCTTGAAAGTAGCCATGACTATATGTAAGCGAATGATCGTGGCTGTGTTCCAATAAAACTTTATTTATAAAAACAACCAGAGGGCCATAGTTTGCTGACCTCCAATTTAAAATGAAGTGAGCTGCCTTGGTAGATAGTGACTTCCCCATCACAAGAGGTTTGTAAGAAGAGAAGTCTCCCTCCCCCAAAAGAAGATGAAGGTCTGGAACCAAGTAAGGATGACAGCCTCCCCTCCTTTTCCTATACCCTGCCCTCTTGGGAAGAAAATGGCAGAGGTTGAGTGTCTCCTGTGTGCAGGAACTGCTCAGATGACTTAGCCATTAGTACTGGATTCTCACAGCAGTTCAGCCCCGTTCAGCAGGTGAGAAACCTGAGGCTTGGTTGGTTAAGGGACTTTTCCAAGGTCATACAGTTTGTCAGTAGGGGGGCGCCAGATTCAAACCCACCAGGCCCTCCTCATCCATAGCCTCACAGAGTGACTGTAGCTCTGAGCCCGTTGTGGCTGACTGAAGCTACTGAGGGAGCCCACAGCACGGTGGCCCTGGAGGGTCAGTGCTACAGGGCCCCGAAGGCAGTTTCACCTCTAGGACTCTGACCACCGTCTCTCTGACCTGCCAGGAGACCCCACTGCGAGCAAACCTTGAACCTGATCATTAGGATTCTTGAAACTGGTCAGTCAGAAAGTCACTCCTCCTTCTCCATCCAAGCATCCTGTCCCAGCCTTCTTACAGTGCCACGGGGGCCAGGTTGCCCCAGATAAGAGTAGTATCATCATCATTATTGTTATTGGTGTTATTATGAAGATGCTGCCAACAATATATTGAATGAAGCCACTTACTTTGTGCCAGGCACTCTTCTAAGCATGCTACATATATTATCTCATTTAATTCTCTCAACATGACCATCCTACTTCTGAAGAAACAGAAGCACAGAGAGGCTTAGTAACTTGCCTAAGGTCACACAGCTTGGAAGTGGAGGAGCCAGGATTTAAGCCAGGCCATCTGCACAGCTCACAAGGACTGTGTAGCAGTCTGTTTTCAGAGCCTGTGCTTTTATCAGCTATACTCTGTGACCCCATTTTCACATTCTCCTGCCCCTTGAGAATCTGTACAACGAATGGTGGTTGGAAAAATGTCGTCTGGGTGTTCTGCCGCTGCCAAGGAGCATTTGACATTCAGTCATATGATTCACACCCATGTGGACACAACCATGTGCCCTACAAGAGGCATGGGCTAAGGTCCAGCAGACCTGGGTTCAAAGTCCAGTGCTGACACTCCCTGGCTGTGCAACCTTGGGCAGGGACAAGCCTTGGGCAGTTTACACACTGGTAAGAGGGCAAAATGGTGGTGCCTACCTATGGGTTTGTAAGTATTGATTGATGACAGCTTACTCTGCTCTGGGAGTCATTCTAAGTGCTTCGACCTTCAGAGCAAAACTTCTAGGCGGGTGTCATTTTGATTCCCATTTTACAGGTGGGGAAACAGGGCATGGAGTTTCCCAACATCACCCAACTAGGGTGTGATGGGACCAGCACTTAAATCCAGACTACCAGGCTGCAGAATCCCCACGCTTAACCCCACAGGGCCCTGTGTCTACCAAGAGCTCGGGAAGAGTCAGGCGTGGTTGTGACTTCTATGGGGCACTCTCCCCACTGGATAGAGTCCAGGGACGTTGCAGGGCTCCAAGGCGCAGAAGACAGGAAGGCAGGCCTCAGGCCCCAGCATGCCTCGCCCTCAGGCCAGGCTGAGTTCTGGCCTCTCACTGCTGCCTTTGGCCTCTGCCTCCTCATCGACCCCAGGCAGTCCTCCTCACAGCCTTGGGATGTTGGGCTTGCCAAGCCCAGCTCCTCCCTGGCCTCCAGCCCTCCCTGAGATTTCAGCCTGGACTGGAGGGCACCACCTCTTCGCCCATGCCCACCCTTTCCCCGGCTCAGCTACTCACGTTTGGAGGCCCGAGGATCAGGTTACAAGCCCAGGACTCCGGGAACCTCGTGGGGAACAGATCACAGGTTTCGTTCCACCGCCTTTTAAGATCAAAGAACCCACTTAGAAGGGAAGGAGGCCTCCACAAAGCTGCCCTGAGGCATCCCTTCTCAGCTCTATCTGCTCTTTAGACCTGTGGTGGCAGCTGCCTTGGTCCTTGTGAGGCAAGGTTGATTTGGACCTGGGCTCTGTGTCAGCCTGGTAAAGAGTGTCACTTCACTCACCCATCCAACAATATTCTGCACCATTCTGGCCTGGCCTGTGGCCACTCCTCACATAGCAGCCAGGTCCAACCAAGTGCCCCTCCACACGTAAAGCCCCCTAAATTCTTCCCATGGGGCTGAGGGTGAAGACCCATCCTTAAATGGGCCTTGGGAGCCCATGAATCACCACCCACCCAGGAGCCAGGGCAGAGGCCAAAGCCATCTTGGCCTCCTCCTTCTCCCTCCTGTTTTCTGAACCTGCATCCAATTAGTCCCCAAGCCCGAGGAGCCCACCTCTACCTCAGGGACCCTCCCTTCCCCTACTCCTCCACTTACCTACCACCTGGATGGCAGGATCCCAGAGGCCCCTCCACTAACTCCCTCCCAGGCTTGTTCCCACAGCTGCCCTAGTTGTTGTTAGGTGCAATCAAGTCATCTCTGACTCAGCGACCCCATGCACAGCAGAATGAAACACTGCCTGGTCCTGCGCAATCCTTGCTGTACTTGAGCCCATCGCGCCAGCCAGTGTGTCAATCCATCGTTGAGGGCCTTCCCCTCTTTTGATGACCCTCCACCTTACCAAGCATGACATCCTTCTCCAGGGAATGGTCCCTTCTTACAACATGACCAAAGTAGGTGAGACGAAGTCTGGCCATTCTCGCTTCCAAGGAGCATTTTGGGTGCACTTCCTCCAGGAAAGATCTGTTAGTCCTTTTAGCAGTCCATGGTACTTTCAGCATTCTTCACCAGCACCACAGCTCAAAAGCATCAGCTCTTCTTTGGTCTTTCTTATTCATTGTCCAACTCTCACATGCATATGAGGTGATTGGAAATACCATGGCTTGTGTCAGACACACTTTAGTCCTCCAAGAGACATCTTTCCTCTTCAGTACTTGAAAGAGTCCTTTGCAGCCGATTTGCCCAGGGCTATACGTCATCTGATGTCTTGACTGATACTCCCATTGACATCGATTGTAGAACCAAGCAATGTGAGGTCTTTGACAACTTCAATCTTATCATGATGCTGCTTATTGGTCCAGTTGTGAGGATTTTTGTTTTCTTTATATTGAAATGTAATCCACACTGCAGAGTGTAGTCTTTAATCTTCATCAGTAAGTGCTTCAAGTCATCCTCACTTTCAGCAAGCAAAGTTGTGTTGTCAGCATATCGCAGGTTGTTAATCCTGATGCCACGTTCTTCTTCATGTAGGCCAGGCTTCTTGGATTATTTGCTCAGCATGTAGATTGAGTAAGTATGATGAAAGGATACACCCAGACACACTCCCCTCTTGATTTTAAACCATGCAGTGTCCCCTTGTTCTGTTCAAACCACAGCCTCCTGGTCTGGGTACAGCTTCCTCATGAATACAATTAAGTGTTCTGGAATTCCTCTTCTTCTCAATGCTATCCATAATTTATTATGATGCACACAATCAAATGCTTTCACATAGTCAATAAAACACAAGGAAACTTCTTTCTGGTGATCTTTGCTTTCAGCCAAGATCCATGTGCTGGCAGCAATGACATCCCTTATTCCACGTCCTCTTCTGAAACCAACTTGCATTTCTGGAAGTTCTCTGTCAATATACTGCTGTAACTGTTTTTTTAATTATCTTCAGTAAGGTTTTACTTGTGTGATATTAATGATACTGTTTGACAATTTCCACATTCTGTGGGATCACCTTTCTTTGGAATGGGTACAAATACGGATCTCTTCCAGTCAGTTGGCCAGGTAGCTGTCTTCCAAATCTCTTGGCATAACCAAGTGAGTGTCTCCAGTGGGGCATCCATTTGTTGAAACATCTCAATGGGTATTCCTTCAATTCCTGGAAGCTTGTTCTTTGCCAGTTCCTTCAGTGCAGCTTTGACCTCTTCCCTCAATACCATTGGTTCTTGAACATATGCCACCTCCTGAAATGGATGAAGATCAACCAGTTCTTTTTGGTACAGTGATTCTGTGTATTCCTTCCATCTTCCTTTGATGCTTCCTGCATCATTCAATATTTTGCCCATAGGATCTTTCAATATTGCAACGTGAGGCTTAAATATTTTCCTCAGTTCTTTCAGCTTCAGTTCTTTCTTCCCTTTTGGTTTTCTAACTTCAGGTCTTTGGACATTTCATTATAGTAATTGGCTTTGTCTGCTCGAGCTGCTATGCTCAGCTCTGTTATCTTGTCATTTCTTCCATTTGTTTTAGCTACTCTTCGCTCAAGGGCAAGTTTCAGCTTTTCTTCTGACATCCATTTTGGTCTTTTCTTTCTCATATTTTTAGTGACCTCTTGCTTTCTTCATAGATGATGTTCTTCATATCATCCCACAATTCCTCTGATTTTTGGTCACTGGTGTTCAATGCATCAAATCTATTCTTTAGATGGTCTCTAAATTCAGGAGGGATATATTCAAGCTCATATTTTGGCTCTCATGGACTTGTTTTAATTGTCTTCAATTCCAAGTTGAACTTGCATATGAGCAGTTGATGGTCTGTTCCACAATCAGCTCCTGGCCTTGTTTTGGCTGAAGATATTGAACTTTTCCATCGCCTCTTGCCACAGAAGTGGTCAGTCTCATTCCTGTGTGCGAAGTCCACTTGTATAGCTGCCATTTGTCTTGTTGAAAAGGGTATTTGCAATGAGTAAGTTGTTGGTCTTGCAAAATTCTATCATGAGACCTCCAGCCTTATTTCTGTCACCAAGGCCAAATTTTCCAACTACCAGTGATCCTTCTTTGTTTCCAACTTTTGCATTCCAGTCACCAGTGATAATGAATACATCTTGATTGCATGTTCAGTCAATTTCAGACTGCAGAAGTTGATAAAAATCTTCAATTTCCTCATCTTTAGCTTTGGTGGTTGGTGCATAAATTTGAATAATAGTAGTATTAATGGGTCTTCCTTGTAGGCATATGGATATTGTCTTCTCACTGACAGCACTGTACTTCAGCATAATCTTGCAACATCCTTTGGGATGATGAATGCCACGCCATTCCTCTTTAAACTGTCATTCCCAGCACAGTAGATCACATGGGTTGTCTGATTCAAAATGGCCACAACCCATCCATTTCAGCTCACTAATGCCTAGGATATTGATCTTTATGTGTTCCATTTCACTTTTGACAACTACCAATTTTCCTAGATTCATACTTCTTACATTCCATGTTCCAGTTATTAATGGATGTTTATAGCTGTTTCTCCTCAATTAAATCATGTAATGTCAGCAAATGGAGGTCCTGAAAGCTTTACTTTATCCAAAACATTAAGGTTGACTCTACTCTGGCGAGGCAGCTCTTTCCCAGTCATACTTTGACAGCCTTCCAATCTAAGGGGCTCGTCTTCCTGCACTGTATCGGACAGTGTTTCTGGGCTGTTCATAAAGTTGCCCAGTAATGTATCAGACAGTGTTTCTTTGCTATTCATAAGGTTTTCCCTGGCCAATTCTTTGAGAAGTGGATGGCCTCTTCCTTCTTTCTAGTCTGTCTCAGTCTGTAAGCTGCATTGAAATCTGTGCACCATGTGCAACTCTACTGGCGTTTGAAACACTACTGGCACAGCCTCAAGCCTCACAGCAACACCCAAGCCACCACAGTACGACAAACTGACAGATAAGTTTATATCCCTTAGCTATTTGAAACCTCTCCACCCTCCCCTTACCTGGATCCTACCTGGATCCGGTCACTTTGTCATCCTCGGAGTTCCCTCCCTTTCCCTTCTCTGGGGTAGGGCCTGTCTCCCTAGGGGTCTCTCAAAATCCCAGATTACTCAAAAACTTGGGAGAGCCCTTTCTTCCCCAACAGCCTCTAACATTGAGTCCAGCTTGACAAAGCAGCCTTGTGGTTCAGCATCCCCAAACCACTTTTTCTAGTCCACCTCCCAGCCTCACCATGGCAGCCTGGCTCCTGTCTGCCCCCTTCTCCATGTTTGATGGGTCTAAATATCTGACTCCCATTTTCTCTTACATGATGCCTTGATTCTAGACCTGGTTCCAAATCTGTGATGTGAAGAGTCCTATTATTCCTACTATTCCAAGATTCTGTACTTGCAGATTTCTTGGAGTCTGAGATTTTAGGTTTCCAAGAATCTGAAAGCCAAGGATGATAAAATTACACTGTGCAGTCAAACCACACTCACCGCTTATGGGGTTGGGCATGAACTTGGCAGCCTGTGGCCTGCAGGACCCCATGCTGGCTCCAGACACAGGAGATGTTGGCTCTTGAGTTGTAGAAGCACGTGAGTGTGGAAGTGTCTGCTGGGTGAAACAGTCATGAGCGGCTGCAGGGAGCCCCCAGTCCTCAGGGCTCACCTACCACCCTTCCTCTGGTCATCCAGTGCCTACCAGCTTTGGAGGGAGGCAACCCAGGCAAGCAGAGAAGGGACTACTAAACCCATTTCAGAGCGGAGAAAACTGAGCCCCGGAGCCTGCAAATCCCACAGGTAGGGCAGAAGGAGAACCCAGCTTCTGCCTGAATCTTGTAGATGCACATGAATGTAGTACAGGTAGGATGAGGGGCCCAGGGTTGGGACAGATGCCTGATCTTTGGTCCCATGGCCCCTGCCATTCCTGGTTCCTGCTTCCCTCCTCTCCTGGCTCCTGGTTCTGCTTCTGGATCTGCTATCAAGAAGCAGGGGACTTGGGAGGGGTTCCCTAGAGGAGACACAGCTGTGGGGTTGCCAGGGTCCTCACCGTTCACTGCTGCAGAAGGCCGGGGTATGGCCAGAGGAAGAAGGAGGACGAGGAGGGGCAGACACCAGGTCAGAGGAGGCGTTTCCATCACAGCCACAGAGTGGAGCTGGGGAAGAGGGCCCTGAAGGAGCAGAGAGCACAGGTGAGCACCCCCCACAGTCACCCTCCCCTCTCAGGTGCCCGCTCTGCTCCCCACCACAGGGCCCTCAGGCCCACATGGGCACATGGCTCATTCTCTCCCTTCATTCAGATTTCTGGACAGGGCTTTCCTGGCCAGAACTGTTGCTCCTTATTTTCCATCATAGCATTTATTGAATTACTTAATTGATTTTCCTCTTTATCTCTCTAAGGAGCCCTGGTGGTGCAGTGGTTAAGCATTTGGCTGCAAAAGGAAAGGCCAGCAGTTCGAACTCACCAGTCACTCCATGGGAGAAACATGTGGCAGTCTGCTTCCAAAAAGATTACAACCTTGGAAATCTGATGGGCAGTTCGACTCTGTCTTGGAGCATTGCTATGAGTTGGAATCAACTTGATAGCAAGGAGGATGGCTCTCTATCCTCTATGCCCCCCCCCACTATACACAAATACACTCTCACATCAGTTCAATGAAGGCAGGGGGTTTTGTCTGTTTTGGTCATTCCTAGGAACCCAGTGCCTAGAACAGTGTCTGGTACATGTAAACCAAAAACTAAATTCACTGCTGTGGAGTCGGATCCCACTCTTAGCGACCCCTCCTTGGTTTCCGAGGCAGTATCACTACGGAAGTAGATTGCCCAACCTTCTTTCCAAGGAGTGGCTGGTGGGTTTGAACTGCCAGCCTTCTGCTTAGTAGTCAAATGCCTTAAGCACTATGCCACCAGAGCTCCCCTGGTATATGGTAGGTTAAAAAAAAAAAAATCAATTGAATGAATGAACAGGTAGATGAATGAATGAGTGAAGCTAAATCCAGCCAACCAGAAAAGCCATCTGACGATTTGGGGCCGCCACCTAGGCCATCCCTCTGCCTCCACCCATCGCAGTTCATTGAAGGGAGTTGAAGGAACGGTCTGAAGACAGAGAGATGCGAGCTGAGACAGAGAAGCCCACATCGTGGACAGGAGCCTTGGCTTCAAACAGCCCAAAAGCTGTTTCAGGGACAAAGTTTAAACCTGCTCTGAGTGGCTTTGGGAGCAGGAGAGGAAGTTTCTGGAAGACAAATCTCTCTTTTCTGAAAGTTCAATGGCCTTGAAAGAAAGGGAGGTGTCTTTTCCCAGGGGATTAGTAGAAGCAGCAGAGGTGCCCCTCAGACTCACGGCTGAGTCAGTCCCACACCCCTCCAGGACAGAGCCAGGCTGAGGGGGTTGGGGTGGACAGGAGATGGCAGATCTGGCCTCTTTCTCCTACTAAGAAGGGACTGTGCTGTGCCAGATGATGGCCAGGCCACCTGGGTCCTATCCCAGCTCAGGGACCTGCATGGAGAGGCTCCACCTGGCCCTCCTCCCTGCCTCCCTGGGAACAAAGAGTGGACAGAGGGCCCAGTCATACCCTCCAATAAGATGCAGCTTCAGGCATCCTGAGCTCACACACTTGTTCACAGATGGGGTGTTTGAGGTATTTGAAACATGAATCCTAAACTTCAGCATCATTTAGCAGGGCTGACGTGTGTCAGGCCGGTGAAGAAGCAGGTCATACACAGCTCCGCAGAGAGAACTATGATCACAGCATGACCATATAAGACCTAGCACTCACCAGGAGTCCCTGAGTGGTACAGATGTTAGGCACAGGGCTACTAACCAAAGCTTGAAGGTTTGAATCTATCTGGAGGCACACCTCAGAAGACAGGTCTGCTGACCTACTTACAAAAAGGCAACCATTGGACACTACAGAGCACAGGACTACTCTGACACATAGAGAGGTCCCCATGAATCAGAGTCGACCCAATGGCAAGTAACAACCACAACAAATATTACAGACGTAGATTGTCAGGCTTTTCTTCCAAGACACTCCGGGGTGGATTCAAGCCACCAGCCTTTCTGTTAGCAGCCATTAACCACCTCCACTTGAGCCACACTATCTCCCCCGCAGAGGCTTCAGATGAGGTACCTCCCAGAGATGCCTGAACCGTGGAAGTGTTGCCAATGATGACATCTGAGGCACAGTGACTAAGACACTGAGACACAGTGTATCTGTCACAGAGTGTTCTCAGGGGCCTTCTGGCCACACTGTGGAAACTCCTGCTCACTTAGAACAAGCCAAGACCTCGGCCACAACCTACTGCAGTGGAAACTTTGTGCAGGGAAATGTCGCTGCCACTGTCCCCTGCAGGGCCCGGTCTGGGGACAGAAATGAGAGAAGGAAGTGAATGGCCATTTTCAGAAGATGACTGGACAGCTGGGAGGAAAGGCAAAGCGGGAAGCAAGAGGGGAGGTGGGGTAGGGGGCCAGCTACACCAACGTCCAGGGGAAGGGGATGGTGCCCTGAGCAGAGAGGTGGAGGTACAGGGCAGAGAGAGGTGCAACAGGCAGTTCTGAGGCGCTGAGCAGGGGGCAGTCCTTCAAGCTCGTGGACTCTTTGATGCCAAGACTGGCCAAGACTCTGGACACCAGGCTTCAGGCTTTGTGGTCCCTCCTGCCTCCCTCGCATCCCAACTCCTCCTGCCTCCTCCTTCCTCTGTGTCCTCCCTTTCCTTCTCCCTCTCCGATGGGACTGGCTCCCATCCCTGCCTCCCACAGGCCTTTCTCCAGCTCACCATCTCCCCTGAGTTGACTTTGCTCCCAATGGCCTGTGGGATCCTGGATGGGTTCCCCAAGCCCAGTGAAAGCCACCCACCCCAAATGGATGGGTTCCCCGGGCCCAGTGAAAGCCACCCACCCCAAATCTCTCCCCATTGACTTTGGGGTTTGGAGCTCTCACGTCCTCCTTGTCCCAGTCTCACGCCATCCTTAACTCTCATCTTCACCCATGCCAGGAAGCCCAAAAACCTCCCAACCATCTCTTCTTCTCTCTCTCTACCCAGTGCCACCAGCCCAGGCCAGCCCAGTGCCACTTCAGCCTGGACGGTGATGATGGCCTCATCTGTAGCAGGTCCAATTCAAGGTTCTCGGATCCATCTCCCAGAACCCAGCTCCAACCACCACTGCCCTCCCAGAAGGCTTCTGTGGCTCCCACTACAGCCCACAACCCGCAAGCCTAAAGCTCCTGCTTCCTTTGCACTCACAGCAGTAGGTACACACACACACACACACACACACACCTCATGTCTACCTGTTACCACAAGCCATCATCTCCTGGCAGTAAAGAAGCTAAGATTTGGCTTCCAAATGGCCTTGTAAGACTCTCTTTCCCTTACTGCCACCTACAGAATCCTGTTGTTCTTTGAGGCCCATCTCAAATGTCTCCTCCTCCTTCTTCCATGAAACCATCCCTGATTCCCCCAAGGATGGGGAAGCAGTCTCTCCTCCTAGTCTCTTGTCCCTTCTGCTGGGAGGGCAGCAGCAGGGCACTGTCCAGGCAGTGTGTTCCCTCCATGGACTGTTAAGCACCAGGCCTGGCACACAGTGGTGCTCAATAAATGCTTCTGAATGCATGAATGTGGTCAGGGGCCTCCAGCATGGCAAAAGCAAGCAGGGCTTTTTGGGACCCAGTATCCTGTCCCAGACAGCCCTCAGCTCTGTCTCCCGTAGTGAATGTCCCAGGTGTGAGATTCAGAGACACCACCCCCCACATTGTCAAAACTGAAGGGCTCTTTGAGCAAGCCCAGCCCCTTGGGAAGACTGAGGCCCAGAAATGGGAAAGACTTGCCAGAAGTCACACAGACAGCCCAGAGGAGAGCTATAAGTAGACCCCTCCCCCTCTCTACCCTCAAACCAAAGCCAAGTTCATCACCATTGAGTTGATTCCGACTCACAGCGACCCCCATTGGGCTTCTGAGGCAGTAAATCTCCACAGAAGTAGATTGCCTAGATTGCCCCATCTTCCTTCAGCAGAGCAGCTGGTAGGTTTGAACTGCCAACCTTCTGATTAGCTGTCAGATGCCTTAGGCACTGAACCACCAGAGCTGCTTACCCTGCTGCCCCTTAAATACACCTAAAACCATTCATCTGAAGGGGACAGTCTAGGCCAGGCTCTACTTGAAGCTCTTAGGGCATCAAATCTTATTGGAGATGCTCTTATTATCCCTGTTTTCAGATGGGACAACTGAGGCACAGAGAGGTTAAGCAATTTGTGCCTAGTCACACAGCTGTGAAGAAGCAGATTCAGAGTAGAAGGTAGACTGCCCAGAGTTCAGGCAGGGCCCTCTCCTCCTGTGTCTCTGACACATGTCCCAACCACAACAATTCACAAAATCAGCAAGCATGCCTTGATTACCTAATAACAGTACATGTACCGAACACTGACTCAGTGCTAGGCCGTGTGCCAAGAGCCTCAAGTACACACTGTCATTGCATCTTCCCGACAGCTTAGGGTGTCAGGGCTTTGACTATTCCCACTACACTCAGAGAAACTAAGGCTCTAAGACATTAACTTACCCAGGGTCATGGACGTAACAAGAAGCAGAACTAGGACTGTAACCCAGATCTCCACCTTAAGACCCATTCTCACCCACTGTTCCCTCCAGGCAGACCCTGCCCCAGGCACTGCTCACAGAATTTGGGCCAACTGCCTCCCTGCCCTGAGGAGTCAGGCCTAGCTGGGACACAAGTCACCTGGTTCTACGTCTGTCCTGGGTCAGAGAGGTACCCCTGCATTCACCTTGCCCAGCCCACCACCCCCAGGAGGGTGGGCTTCCCTGGGCAAGGGCTGGTGCTTCTTTCTTTGGATCCCTAGACTGTGTAGGGCATAGGGTTGGGACCCCAGACGGTGCAGAGCCCAGTGAGAAGCTCCCAGCAAGCCCCTCCTGTGCCCCTTACACATCCTGGGACAAGAACCTGTGTGCCCACAACCTGGAGCAAGAACATCGTTGGTCCTCCGTGAGGTTGTCACCCCAGACAGGGCGCTATGTCAGGCCCCAGTCACCAGGGTGTCCCCCATGCCCAGCCCAGGGCCTGGCACAGAGGAGGTGAAAGGAGGCAGGTAGGGGCAAAAGGGTGCAAGGTTGAAGGAAGGTCA